ATTAAACACAAAACTTCTCCTAAGTGTTGACAGTATCAAAGGGATTCTTTTCTTTAATCAGTCACAAGCCAATCTGATAACTGACAAGAGCGACTTTATCAGAGATAAAGTAGCAAAAGGCAAAACTTAGCCCACTTTTCATGGACATCGCTTGGCTGCATTCTGACAGCACCTCAAAGAGCTACAGCTCTGCACAAGACGAAACTCTGCACTACACTGCTGGTGGCCCACAAATTATTCAGTATCTTTCCGAGTACAAAGAGGAGCAGCCAGAGGGTGGCTGAGCAGATAGGAGAGGACAGACTGGCTCACAACTAGTCTGCAATTGACTGCACTAAACATGTTGGATTGCCATTTTGTTTATGGGTCACCGTTTTCATTTATAGCCTTGTTAAATAACCTGGTGTCTTTGGAGTAACACTATTTGGGGATCATTTGGTAGCAGCGGCATTGGAATCAATCACTGTGCCGAATGAGTATGAGATGGAGCAGTGACAGCTTGTTTTTCTTACCAAGGCCACCTCCTTCTTCAGCTCATCCAAGTTCTTTCCCTTCTTATTCCTCTTCCCTCCGTTCTCGGCACCACACTAGGGGAAAAGAGTGCAATAACTATACATTAGGGTATCATCGTAAACCTAAAATAAGTGGGAAAAGTCACTTGCTTGGTAGGCACATTGTGCCCAGCCATTTACATTCAGAGCGACAGAATGCAAGCATCAATGTGAACACAATGGACTTTGTGTTTCCTTGTTTATTTCAATCTCCTGACACTGTTGGCAAACCATTCACCCAATATTGACGAGAAAATATCTTTTTCTAATACTGCAAGTTCCTCATTTATGAGTGCGAGCGAGAGTGTGTGTGTGTCACGAACAGTTGGAAGAAGTGTGCATCATGGAAATCATCTGCCGCTGTCAGTCTCCTCCTGGTGGCACGTGTGCATGTCAGTGAAGGAGGGATATACAGCGTGAATGAGAGGAGAGTGTGAGCAAGTGACACAGTGAAAAAGTAATCAGAAAGAGCCAAACAGGGAGCACAGAGCCGGCGGAGTGCCTGAAATGTGTCTGGCATAGCAATTTCCCACCACTGTGTGTGAGGAAGATTACCAGGCTGTCCTCCCATAAAGCTAAATGGAATGGGCCTGATGGAGAGAATAAAAGCAAAATTACGTAATTACCCAAATAAACAGCAAGCCGAGAACAAAACTTATTGAGGAGGAAAGCCATTATCCTGAGATGTTACTGTCTTTTTTTGTTTGTTTGTTTTTTCAAAAGGCATCATTCTGATACTTAGAGACATCAAGTGCTGAAGACGCATTTAGGAAAGTCTGTGATGCATGTCCACACCATATGCTGTCATTGCACATATATTACAGTAAGTAATGAGTGATGTTCATTCATTCATTCGCTGATATTAGAAAGAAAAGCTTCAGAAATCAAGAGAACTCACCCCTTTGCCCATGTTGGACGTCCAGATGTCGGCGGGTTGTAATGTAAAGGACAGCACTTAGGAACCCCGGCCACAGTTGAGACTCTCCTCCCACGTGTGGAAGACACTGGTGGCTTTTTTGGGCCTGGCACCCCCACCACCAAAAACTCCTGTCAGGGTAACCTGACCCATACACCCCGCTCCACTGGCCCTCCCCATTAGGGCTTCTCCATATTCACACCCACCCACCCTACCGTGAGCAAATGGTCCCACGCACACACGGCAAGTACCTGCACCTGCTTAATACGTCACTGCCTCCTGTCACAACACACAAGGCCTCTTAGAGAACAACGGCTCTTCAATCACTCGTGTCAACACTACAAGTGAAACCTTGGTAGCAACATATCATGCAGCATTTCTAACAAACATCATAATGAGGGACCGTTAGTGACCCTTAAGAATTCTCATTAAGACTCATTATCATGCAAAGGGAAGCACAGTGTCCAGCTGTTCGTGAACAGTAATGATAGTGAGAAACTGCTGTGTTATTGTATAGCGCTGAAATGATTTCTTCATTTGTCCTGTGCATGAAATCAATGTGACTCACTGCCAACACAACACTTAAATTAGCTTAAAGTCCAAGTTATTTACTACATAAGGTGGGTCATGACCACTGCGCCCACACAACAGATGCTGCAGATGATCTTGTATCTAATGTGCACCAAATGTCTTATCACTTTTTGCCAATTGCTTTTAGAGCAGATTCTATGCTTGGTGTCTGCTTACATTGCATTGCATCTAATCCTGTATGAACTTTGTACTTTAGGTCTAAGCGCCTGTACAATGAGTTTCTCTGCAGTAAAGGTCTTTTATTTTTAATGGTATATTAGCATGGTTGTTTGAAGTTCAGCACAAAACTCTGTGTAGATAAAGCTTCTTATTAAAGTGTCTAAGACATAAGCCAGAGAAGTGATCGTACAGGTCAATTAAACGAGTAACCTTCTAAGAGAAAAAGTATCTTTAAATCTAACTTGGAGGTTGTATATTTCACTGATGATGGCCTAAATCTTTTGTACTAAATGTCACCAATTCAGAAAAAACTTGTAAATAAATATGTGCAAAAATGAAATCCTCACACATCAAAACCCTTTAGAATTTCACACTGGACTTAATTACAAGAAATATAAAAGAGAGCTATAAACACGCACAGATACTTTGATTCATTCGAAAAATAAAGTTGAATTAAGAAGCATTGCTCCCTTTGTGGCAAGCACCTGATAAATGTGATAGAAAAATGGTATACATGAGTGTAAGCAGATAATGCCTTCAGTGCATACTTAGTCTTTTTACTTGGCAAGGGAGTTAATCCCAGGAGACGCCTGTGTAAATAAGCAGGTGCATATTTACAGCCTGGTACAAAAATGGGGCTTTGATCAATTTCCTTGTTCACGGCTGTGTGGGGAAATTTTTTAATAACTAATTTATTTAAATCTGATCAAGCCTAAATTTCTCAATTTGAAGGGCATAGAAATGCTGCTACTACCTTGAATGACAGGTGGGTCCTGACTAGGCGCAAACCTGCGTCACATTAGCTGAAGATGCTACTACTCTGTAATCATGTTTGTTTCGAGCATTTATCATGCAGTTAGCTCCCAAATAATGGGCTTATTGCAATGTTTATTGTACCACAAGATTAAATAACAACTCTGATGCTCAGTTCTGGTAAGTAAAATTTGAGTATTATTAGCAATTTAGCGCTACTGTACTGTAATTAGCAGTTATCTGTGAAGGTGCCTTGCTAACCAAGTTAGCAGACAGCTTAGCCATCCTCCCTCTCTGTTATTATATCAAAACTCAGGAGTTATTGTCTTAAAATTTCAACTCAATGAATGACCGCCTTTAAGTTTCAACAAACCTAACTTAAAATTTTGAATTATAAGGACATTTGTAGCTCTACACTAAGCTACCATGTATTAACTCGATATTTGCCTGTCAACCTTCTACTTATATATTTAGGCATTCTGTATGTTTTGATTGATGAGTGACTTAATTCTCATTTATTTATTAATTTATTTGTTGGTGAAGGGGATATCAACAGGCAGGAGTGTGCTGATGCTATTGTGTCAACTTTAAATCATTTAAATAAAATCTGATGTTGCTCTTTTATTTTTAATACTTTGTTAAAGTTACAGATATCTTTTTTTCTGATGTGTTTATCCAAGAAAATGTTTAGTGTAATAATATACACTTTTTATATTTTATAATAATAATAATAATGGATTGGATTTATATAGCGCTTTTCAAGGCACCCAAAGCGCTTTACAACATTTTACAACATAGTTGTTTGTCAATTCTAAATAGGCAGCTTTAGCTGGTGAATACGTGACCATTTTTACAGGTCATGGTTGCATCTTCTACATTTTTGCCAAACAGAAAGAAACTTGCAACTTTGTGCAAGTCCATGAACAGTCAAATTTTGTTTTTGTCTTTTTGTTTCACTTTTGTCCCACCAATCCCGAGAGAGTGAAGCCACAACATGCTCTGCAGTAATTATAAAATCCTCACTACAGTTCATAACAGGTGTAACAACAAAATATATCAGAGTGTATGAGCAACTTCAGCCATCCCTGATGTTGAACTCAGTTGTCTGGAAACTTTGGGTTGCTCAGGCAAGCGATCTGGCTTTATTACTCCACAACTAATTTCTGGCTAAAGTCTGGCTTATACAGTGCATTATCATCCATCCAGTTTAACTTTGGGAAGCACAGCATATAAGCATCTGTTGCACAATGTCACAAGATAATACAAAAATTCCATCTGCATCAGCTTTAAATTGAATTTTTAACACATTTAATTATGGTTGTTTGAATAATCCAAAATAAACCTACATTTGCAGCATTCAATGATCTCCCATTGGCCAGTCAGTCATACACTGTCTCCGGGCAAGTCACCGCACATCTGTTAAAGACTCTGATGTGAATAATGAGGCAAAGTATTTTTGAAAAGGTTATGCTCACTAAATCCCACCAGCATGTTAATTCAGGGAAAAAAATCCCCTAAAAAAATTTTATGTTATTTTGCCATTTCGTGAAAGGGTGGTTAATGGTTGCTAGGCATTTATTTCCTGTTTATCATTATTCCTTTTTGATTGTAGGATTGCAAAGGGCATGATGAGGAGAACCCATTTTAGCGCTCACCTGCCACCATCATGCAGGAAAGCTTAAAAGTTTAATTTCAAAACTGAATTCCTTTTGTACTTACAAGAAAACCACCACCTGGTGATCACTGTGCAGCATTTAAAACCGCCAGATTACATCCTCTAAAATGGTCTTTCTGAAAATGCAAAAAGCTTTCAGATAGCTAATAAGGTTAGTGCTGTTCTATAATGAGTTTCACTTCTCTTGCCAGCAGTAAGCATATTCAAATATTTCAAATGGTAACTATATCATTTTGGAAGGACCTTCGTCTTTTGAAAAGTTCATAAAAGTGAGTCTTGGCAGAGATGTACGTGACAAATTTACAGAAAGCTTAGCACTCGGCATAGAAAGAAAGACACGGCAGGCACTTTCAGCTGGGTTTACTTTTGTCTTCTGTTGACAACAGCTGGCGACGTGGGGATTTTATTTTTATTTACGTTCTCTTTACAACATATTACAGTCACCAAAAGTTGTTAGTGGTTCGAAAATGATCACAAGCATTAAAATAAATGTAAAAAAATGTAAGAAGCTCCAGTCATTTCAAATGAAGGAATGTTATTCTGCAACTACGACTAACACGGTTCAAAATACATACAAAACGTGTGTTTAAAAGGCAGTTTTAATGCTGTTTGTCTTACGTCAGGTGTCTGTGTGGCTTTGCTGAAAAAAGAAGAAAACATTCTAACTAATCCATTTGACTGGATAGTTAAACAGCGACTAGTGAAACCAGTTATATCGATGTGGATTTTAGCACCTCCATTCCTGTTATGAATTTTAAAGAAACATTCAAGTCTACGCTTTCCACCCTGCATATTAAGCTCACCAATCGCAGTCCATCTTTGGCTCAGGGTTGGGGAAGGAGCACCTTTAAAAGAAAGCTCTGGGGGAAGAGGAGGCTCTATCTGTAGTGATACATATGGATTTTTGGCTGGGCTTAACACACCAGATAAGTCTCTTCCTCTAAAGATTTCTCCCACAGCAAGCACCTTCTCCCCCCATCTTTTTTTTTCCTTCCCAGCCACATCGCGCTGCATCTAGGGCTAACCAAACCCTTATCCACCCTTCATCTTCTCTCTGACTCCGCACAACAACCTTGATTTCCCTTCATCTTTGAATAAAACATACCATAGAGACAGCCACACAGTACCTTCCATAACACACAAGGTCAGAAATATGACATATTCCAAAGAGTTACATTACATTTCCTCCCTGCCTCCATAAACATGTTCTCCATGTGTTTTCTTGCACACATGTAAAAAAGCCTCAGAAACATTTGCTTTACTTGGGGTGACATACTGCTTTTGTTTTTTAAACTTCACATGTAATCAAATTTTTAACACTTTTAACAAGACACACATATACATAAAACACGCAATGGCGACCGGAAAAGAGCTAGCTAGATTATAAGTTTTTGTTTGGCGTCTTCAGTGAGGACTAAAGGCGGATTTGTGCCCATCCGTTTCTTTCCTCTGGAAGTAGTGGGCAGAGGAGAACCTTTTGGCTTTCGAACCAGCAGAAAAAAAAGACAGTAAAGGGCCGGAGAAGAAGGGCTGGCAAAGGGACGTGCCCCTTAGGGAGGTGGTGCTTGAAGGGCAAACGAGAGGGCGTTGGTCGATCACTGGTGAACACGAAGGGAGGGGAGAGAGAGAGAGATGTCCATCACCGAGTTGAGAAAAGACAAGAAGCAAGAGGAGGAAGGACAGAAGAGAGAGGAGCAGAGCATTGAGCTGTAGGCCTGGCAGTCAGATAAGGAGAGGCTTAAAGAGTGGAGTGGATTGTGTGTAGGCCTTTTCTGTGGGGGAATAATGCAGTGCAGACTCACTAACCGGCAGGAAGAGGAAGAGATAAAGGAAGTCAAAGACGTTAAGGACGGCGAGAACGAAACAGGGAGTTTAGAGAGAGGAGATGATTCTCAAGATGGGAGCTGACATGAAGAGCGAATAACAGAGGAGAGGAGACCGCAGAGGAGGCAGGGAGGGAGATGTAGAGAGAGATATCTTGTTACCAGCACACGCTAAAATAATTAGCCCTGGGTTGGCGAGGAGAAACGTGCAAGCGGATTAACTGGACCTAAAATAACTCTGAAGCTGCACCTCTTCCTGGTAAGCTCTTTTGTCAGACTCGTGAGAGCGTTCGCCAGCCTCGGGGGCCGTGACGTCATTCCAGGTTGTCAGTCCCCGGCCGTCGAGTCAACAGCAAACCGCCTCATGCACTTAGCGCAAACAGCACAGCAGGGCCCCCACCACCACCACCTGCTCTGCTCACCTCTCTCTTCCACCCCCTTCCCCCAATCGCCTGTCGTCTGAAAAATGTGCAGCTGTTACAGTAAGCCCGTACGCTCTTATAGGACCAGAAATAGCCCCCTTTAGCCAGGGCAGGGACACAGCGACAACCTCCATTAGCTCAAATGTGAGAGGATTGAATCACCCCAAGCTCGAGGGCTTGAACCTCTATCTGCGCCGGCTGAGAGCAGGAATCATATTTCGCTCCCACTATCACTCTCCTGTCCCTCTCTGTCTCGCTTTTTCTCTGTCTAAAGTCCAGAGTGCACTCACAGCTCCGCTTAGTGTGTGTGTGTCTGTGTGTGTGTGTGAGTGCGTGTGTGATTGAGTTGTAAACATTAAGCGGGGACATTCAGGGGACTCTAAACATGAGGGGATATCTTTCAGGTTCCTCTTAAGGAAGTTATGTACATAGTTAGGCCCTAAACAGTTTTACAGTTTGCCCAATGAGCGCATACAGGATCTCCGGCGAGGCGTCGTGAAAATTATTTGACACCATTGCCGCTGATATAGTGGGACTATTCTTACAGCCAGTGCTGTCTTGAAAGAGTAGAGATAATAGAAAATAATGGGGGTTGCATCAGGCTGGGCGGAAAAGGAGGGAGCAGACTAGAGGATTGGAGGCAGTCATGGAGAAGTCAGACCTTTATCTACAGGAGGAAGAAAAGAGGGAAGGGAGGTGAGAGAAAGAGAGAGAGAGAGAGAAACAGGATAGAGCAGTTAGCATATAAATCACTTCTGTAATTTGAATTAACAAGAAAGTCAGGAAATTCACAGTGAAAGGAGGAAGAAATGGAATAGGAGAGGGGAAGAGAAGGAAGATCAGTGTGAGGTGAGAAAGTTGGAGTTTGACATGTCGCCTCTGAAAAAAGCAAATTGGCTTGTCCCTGCAGCCAGGGCTTCGTGATGCGTATCGGACGCACTTGGAGAAAGCTCTTCTTTTTTTTTTCGGTGGATAGGATCACAATGAAAGGAACCAGAAAGGCAGAACCCAGGGAGCAGCTTTTTAGATTTTGTTATCAAACCAAGCCGTCTTAGGGTCTCGCTTCAAATGGCATATCTTATGACCTGACAAAAGCACTCGGGGTGCTGGCTGGTGTAAGAGATTATCACGACATCTAAGATCTCAGCCAGTATAGCTGCGTTTATAATCATCAGCCTGTGACAGGAGCAGTTATGATTTGACTCATTTATTCAGGGACTCAGGTTAGCGTTGTGGGTTGAAAGCAGGTTTGTGGTATCTCAATAGACTTCCCACTCTCTTATCTTCGATGGGTCCCCCACCTCCCTCTCTCGTGGTCTGTTATTTGAAGGTGAGCTGATTGGCGAGCCTGGAGAGGAAGCCAAGCGGTTCGGACCTCCCTGTCCCTCCTTCACCGCTGGGGCCCTCCTCACCATTTCTGCGAGTCAGCTCCAGCTCGATGGTCATCAGTACCCGACCCGAGCCCTCCTCTCCTCCTCCCCCCGCCCTCTCTGTTTTTCTGACTATGGTTCGCTGCTGCTGCTTGGGCTGGGCCTTCCCCACCGCCTGGCGTACGGGCTGGAGCAGCCGGTCAGCGAACCCGCCCCAGCCCCTCCCCGTATCCTATTTCTTATCCTTGCGTGACTCCTGCTTCTTCTTTTCCGAGGTGGCCGCCTTCACCTTGGAGGGGTCGGCGGGAGGCACAGGGCCCTGTGGGGGGAGGAGGGAGAGGGGAATTGGGGGGAGAACAGGGGAGGAGAGTCACTTCAGGAGGAAAGGAGCGTGAGGAAGAAGAGAGAAAAGAAGGGGGGGGTGACACAGGTGTGTTAGAGGTGAGAAGATGAAATATGGGGTTAGCAGGATGGGTGGAAATGTGAAGAGGAGAGAGAAAAACACATTTAGGTGGAAGAGGAGGAGGAGGAGGGTGAGGAGGTAGAGAGAGAGTTCTTTTAGGGGAGGGGGTAGCAAGTGAGGGGGGGCGGTGTCCAGAGCTGTAAGGGGGTGACAAAACAGGTAACCATGCGTTAGGATGGGACCCAGTGGCAGGTAGGCTCCATACACCTGTGACAACTGAGTGACAATTGATGATTAACAAACAGACAAACACACACACACATGCAGAGTAGATTTTGATTGGCTATTGAGCAAATATTTCCCTTGAATTATTTACATATCCAGTGTCTTTGAATTTGGCCTTGGTTTGTATGAATTAACTCTTTGCCGTCCTTGTCTCGGTCAAAAATAGATCCCTTTACTCTATCAGCCACATTCACCCATTCACTCCCACACATTCACGCAGTGCTTTTTATACTATACATACAGCACTTTTACTTTCACTTATCAAACACACATAAATGACACATCAGGTGCAGTTTCAGTGTTTTGAAATATCTCGCCTAAGGACGCTTTCGCATGCCGACTGAAGGCACCGGTGATGAAACCACCGACCTTCTCATTAGTGGACGATCTGCTATTCCTTCTGAGCCACCGCTGGATCCTTCAAAGAAAATGTTTACAAATGTCTCAAATTTAGCTGGAAAGCGTTTTCATCTAGGTTACATTTCAGTGCTGAACATTATTCCTCTGACTGGAGTTCACTACGGAGTGAAGACCTTTAGCTCAATGCGAGGAAGCCGTTTAAACACTGTTGAAAGTGCTGCTGCAGATGGAGCCGGGACAGTTAAACGCCACGCATTGAACTCTTTTTAATTATTTTTAAAAGAACGCTTTTTCATGATTAAAATCGAGATAATTTTGCTTTAAAGTCTGACTTTGTGACTTATAAATAATTATACTGTTGTCATTTTTCTTCTCCCGTTTTTATGTGTTTCGCTTGTTGTTCAAATACATAAATGGTGAAAATCCAATATGTTTGCACGACCGTATTGAAAAGAAATGCATCTCTTGGGGGGTTAGCCTGTTAAATATGAAACATGTTTTGATCCCAGACACGCTTCATTCGACCATTAAATACTAGATGTCTGGTATATGTTTTAGACTTTTACAGTTACACCAAGAACAGAAAAATTAAATCATTTCCAGGGTAGCTGCACTTTGAGGCACAGCATCCCATCACATTTAAAAAGGGCAGTTCCAGGGTCAGAGTGGCAACAGAAAATTAAATATTTCTGAAGTATCTAACTGAGCTACTGAATAAATAATAACTAAAGTGTACAGGGGAATAGTCGTTATAAATCTTCAACACTGTTTTGCTGTAGCTGTGGTCAGGGACAGACCTGCGTAATCTCTTAACATCATCCAGGCCTCCGGTTACCCTTTGAGGGTTTGGGTTAAGGTTAAGTTATGCATCATAACAGAAGAACTGAGAGCTAGGTACACTTCACTTAATTTTTAAAAGTAACATGCTCTAGTTTGAGAGCACGCTTGTTTAACCTGTGGCTAAAACACACTCTAACCCTAAACCTGAACGAGCCAAACTCTTTATTTAGCTTCTGCTTATGTAACTTTGCAGTTTTACTGGCAGTCCTTCTGTTTATTGTTTGTGTGTTTTCTAAAAAAAAAAATCTCCTATAAGAAATCTATAAACGCAGGAGGAGGAGAGAGGGAAAATGAAGTAAAGTGTTGCTTCATTTGAGCACAACAAATCCAGGAGGAAAGACTTGACCAAGTGGAGATAAGGTCAAGGCAACACTTAACTTTACAATAACTGTATTCCAGTGCATTAACCCCTGAGTTAACCTATTGAAAACTATCACAAGCGCATGATAATGCTTTGATGGAGCCTAATAAAACTTTGCTCGTATGTAATGGTTTTTATAATGCCATTCCTTTTGAACCCCGGGTCAGCATAGTGTTGTCGTGTTACAGAGAACAGAGTGAAGAGGGAAGCGTGCCGGATATGAGGCTTTGAGACTGAAATACTTCTCCTCTAATACGTGAGGTTAGTCAACAGTGGAAAGCACACTAGAGGCGGTTTCTACCCACTGAAGCTCCCAGTAATAATACCCCGCTGATTGCATTAGAAAATTTATCTTCTTTAATTACGCACTCTGCAGAAGCTGCACACACAGACGGCAGTTGAGACACACAGTGCAACCAACTCGACAGGGAAGCTGCAAGGGCCGTCCGGTGTCATTATCTTCGATCATGCTTACATTCTCTCATACATCACTGTATTGTTTACCATTATGCATCCCACGATAGGCTCGAGTTTTGCACTGCAGTGTTTTCCATAGCTCCCACGCTAACGACGGGCTTGCTTCGTAAACACACTCCAGCCTGCTTATGCAGAACGCAGTACCACCCTCGTTACAGGGGCTGCACACACTTCAAAGGAAATGTGGGTACAGTGGCAAAATAGGAGGGACTGGCGGGGAGGTAGATAGGTAGGTAAGTGGCTGCGTCCCGTGCTGCATACTAAAAAGAGAAGGTGACAGGTGAGGAGGGAGATTGAGAGGTAGATGAAGATCGAGAGGTAGTGATTTTCTGTCTGGAACCAAAGCTGATCAGAACCCAGAATACCTGAGGAGGGAGAGGAGAGAAACTGGAACGGGAGAGAGGAAGGGGGCGGCGGGGCGTGGAGTGGAGTGGAGGGTGAGGAGGCAATCGGCAGAGAGAAAGAAAGAGAGAGTTAAAAAAAATGAAAGAGCAAAGAAGGAGTTACAGATAGATGCTTCTAATGGTCAGCAAGGTAGTCGAAGGCATGGAGAGAGGAGGAAGATGCGACTCAAGAGTGGGAGACAGGGGACCGGATAAAAGGAATCTGAATGAGAGAGAGAGTGTGCGAGGGAGGGAGTGGAGTGAAGTGAGGCAATTGGGGAGTGGAGAAGAATGGGTGGGTTGTGTGTCTGTGTGTGTGTGTCTGTGCTAAGATCGATACTGAGTGCACTCAATTATCATTCCAGTACAGTGCGTGTGTGTGTATGCGTGTTCAATCCTGTGAGCTTTCTTATGTGTGTGGCTGCAGGGTAAAGTCCTCTTCCACAACTCCACCTAATGGGGAGTAGCGGGCACCACAGGGTTCCTTTGTCTCTCTGTCTCGCTCACCCTGTTGTTCACTTCCCTGCCCAAAAGCCTTTTTTGAGATTTGTAGTGCAAGCCCAGCAAACAGAGGAGCGACGAAGACGGCGATGCTGATGCAAAATTGTGTCATGTCAGCAGAGCCTCCTAATAAGGGCTATTTGATCAAACAACCACTTATGAGCGCACTGTAAACTCCCACGAGTCCTCTCTGTGTGTGGTGCAGCTAGAAGACCAGAACCAGCTCAGAGGAGCAAAATAAATAAATAAGCTAAAACACACTGGAGAGTGAGCTCAGATGGAAAAGCTGTTTTCGCTGTATATTTTTCTTCCAAGCAGAGACTTGCAGGAGAGTAACTGCAAATGACAACGTTGTCAAATATTTCAGTGTCCTTTTGGCGGCGAGTTATTTATTCATATATGCACTGTCATCCGCCGCAGGCACTTGAGAGCAACTGACTGCAGCTCAAGAATAACCTGACAATCATATGACAGTAGAAAGGAAAGAAGAAGACAGAAGGAGGAAGCGGGGCTCCGGGGAGATGAGAATGAGTGCACTTGTTTAAGGTAGGAGGAAGTCTTGGTCCTTGCCGGTGTCGCCCTCTAGGTTTACGCTACAGGGGCAACATGGCACACTCCGGAGCCCGCCACCGCTTTACAGTTTGCTTCTACCTGTGGCTAAATGACTTGCTGTTACAATAACACCTTTGATCTCCTGCCGCGGATATCTTTACACGTCTCTCGTTTCAAAGCCGAGTCTTGATTGTTGAAAACGCCTTGAACTCAAATCCTTTGACTTCTGTCTCTCTATTTTTTTCTTTTTCTTTTTTTATTATCAGCATGCAAAGCATACAGTCGATTACAACCCTGCAGCCCCCACATTACCACAGAGTAATCAAACAGAACTTGCCCTGGTGCACAAAAGAATACAAGCCACCAAAATGTCTGATTAATCCACCTCTTGAGGCTATCACACCCCCATGAGGAACAGAAGGGGGAAAAAATACACCAACTCCTTGGCGTGCAGCAGCGTAAAACCACTGATAACAGCCCAGACCATAATAGACCCCGTGATTTTCATTTGACTCCCAGTGAGCAAAATCAGCAGCTCCCGTCCATTTCCCCACTGCGAGCAATCATAGTCCCATTCAGTAAGGCAATAGCATTAGTGCCATAACCTGGCCTCGGCCATTTCACAGTCACTGGTTTGAGTTTTTCCTTCTTTTTTTTTTTGTTTTTTGCCCCGTAGCTGTGTACTGGCACCATAGTGTTAGGACGCCTCCCATCCCACCCCCGAGGGAGCTGAAGCAGTGGTGAGGACCACGAGAAAGAAAGGTGTGACGGTGTGGGCTTTAAAGCACTACGAACGCTGAGACGACACAAGAATTTAACAGCTTGAACACTGTTATTAGTGTTAGCGGGCCCGGCTTTGAATGGCATGTTATTTTGTTGTTGATATGTTGCTGAGAGGAGGAGCCGGCTGAGTGTGAGGGCATACTCGAGCTGGTTGGACTGGCATTGGGGGAATGCGATTAGGAAACTGTGCCGTTATGCACTGTCATGTTGGATGTGTGCTATTGTGTTGCTGCACTGCAACAGAGGAGATGAATATTCCCTCTGACAACATGTTTCCTGAGCCCAAATACTCAAACACTGAATGCCATTGTAACCTCTCCAAAAGCACATCATTTTACTATTAGCGCCTGAATGTGACAGCAAACCAATCTGTTGCTTTTGGTGTTGTCGGCTGGATGTGTATATGCGCCGGTCTGTGTGTGTGTCTGTGTGTGTGGTGGGGCTGGAAGGAGGCAGAGGAAGAAGAGGAGCGGGGGCAGGAAGGAGAGGAAGAGAGGCATGTGGAGTAAGTAGAAGGAGAAACTTGCCTGTCTCTGCTGTGAACCCTCTTTCTTTTTCTTGCCATGTTTGCTGGAGGGGACAAAAGAAAGACAATGTCAGGATGTCGAATCTATCTCTCCCTCCAGTGGTCACAGGGCTGCATTGCCTGGCAGCCATCATAAAGAACATCAACTTAATCTACTGGCCCTGTCTCAAGCACAGCCCCCAGGTGCTAGATGTGTTAAGATCTCATAAGACTGGAAGATTGGAAGGGTATAAGCAAGATGATGAATCTGTCATTTTCATGATCTAGTAGATAATCCACTCAGAAACCTTCACTTCACTACTTTTAATCATCTCGCCTTGGACCTGAGCAGTACTGTTTTTAGATTAAATCTAAATCGAGAGATCATTATCTGTGTCTTTACAGCTGACTAACTTCAATTTTAAACTCCGCACACCTAACCAAATCAAATCGTGGTACAGCAGTTATGCCAGCTTGGCCACGCAGGTGTCCATGCCAGGGATGGGCTCCGGCTTCAGCTCCAGTCCCTGGCAAAAACCCGACTGGCAGAGAGCCGCCGGCCACAGGCCGGGCACTGACCTGACACTGAGGCTGAAGACTCGGCGTGCCACCAGGAACCTCATCAGGTAGTAGATGACCACGATGAGCACCAGCAGGCCCAGGACCACCCCGATGATAGCTCCTGTGATCACGCCAGCCTGGATGGGCACTATGAGTGGACGAGAGGAAAAAGCAGATGAGGAAAGGTCAAAAAGGACAAAGATGGAAAAGTGGCAGTGGAAAGCAAATGCCAGGTTGAAGTCAGGAGTGTTCATAAGAAAAAAAAATAGTAAAGGAGATGGAAAAGAAACGATGCTGTCATTTGTGGGAGGAAATTGGTAGGAGAGGAAAGGGTAAACAAAGCTAAAAGGAAAGTGAATAAGAGATGAAAGAAGCAAAGAAAAGTAAAGCAAAAGATAAAATAAAGGTTGAATGAAAGATTAAAGATACCAGCACAGTGAAGGTAGAGAAGGAGATGAAGCGACAGAGAGATAAGGTAGAATAAAGGTGAGATCAGAGAGAGAGTCATGGAGAGAGGTGCTGAGGGAGAAAGTGGAAGACGATGGCGTAGGGGATGGAAGAGAGAAATGGGAGGAGAAGCTGAGAAGGAGGGGGAGAGAAGAAGTGAAAGGGAGGCAGTGATAGCAATCGCAAATAGAGAAAGAGATAAAATTGTAATTGATTTCATTTAACGGGAGGTGCGAAGAATTCGAAATGAGGCAAAGCAACGACTGGTTTGAAGACAGTCGCTTGATTCGGATGAACGGCGAGAACTGAGATTAATTTCAGAGTTTCAAATGATTAAAACAAATGAGAACAGTTCACTTTCAATGGAAAAAAAAAAAAAAAGAATCACTGAAATATAGCATTCAGGGCGGGTGGGAATCTAGCAAGCAGGAATTTAATTTAGGAGACAAACCCCCCACAGGACGTCTCACCTTTCTCAAACACCAGCAGTCGGACACTGGAAGGCCGGCCCACTATGTCAGGGGGGTTCTTGGCGTCACAGGTGAAGGTGCCGTTGTCATTGAGCTCCAGGTTTTTGAGCAGGATGGATCCGTCACGGCGACCTGGGTTTCCCACAAACTCCAGTCTGTCTCTAAAGGGACCCTTGTTGTCAACGTAGGCAGCACCACCAGTGTAGTGGAAGATCTACAAAGGACAGTCAACACACTGTCACTCTGACTAATGCTGCATTTGGATGTTTAGTAAGTAGAGCAGCAGATCAGACCTGTGATTTCCTGCAATAACAAATTTTGCCACTATTTGTGTGCATTTTTAAAAAATATAGAGATGCACGAAGCACCTGTCAGGGGGACACTCATGGAGCATCAGAAAAAAATAGGGCACAGCTTTTAAAACTGGCAAGCAGCTTTACACGAGGGCCAGAAAATAATATTCAAAAGCAGCTCCTGAGGGGTGTAGCAAATGTGACGCCAATTACTACCGCACGAAAAACATATACAACATTTATAACTAATATATGGTGGATAATTGATAACTGAGGGGGTTTGGGGAATTCCAGGGAGTGGATCAAATCCCAGTGAAACATATGAGCAGTCTATTGTTTTGCATTTATAACCTATTAATTATTAAGTCCATTCAGCGTGCTGCCATTACTGCAGCAGCAAGTCTACAGTCATTACCGCTGCCTGCTGACACTGACTGCGGTGACCTATAGATAGTTTAACTGACAGAGTTAGCCAGTTTACAGTTTCTGATGCAGACGTTGTGCTTGTTTGGTTGCCCTATTTAGAGGTTCTTATCTTTCCCAATAATACAACAGTAGGTTGTATTAAATTAGCCCATTCTTGATTTATTCCACCACCACAGCTCCCAGAGCAAGAGCTAGCTACCTGTTTCACTGTATTAAATTAAGCAGATGCACACTAATCACTGTGGTACTGCAGTTAGCCATGATGTTGTTACTGGGAACAAAGCACTTTTTCTTAATAGTTTTGGTCTGTTTCTTGTGCACATCTTGTGCTCTGCACACACAGGTTAATGTATATGGTCTCAAACCAGGCAGCTTACAGCTTATTGAAGGCTTGTAAATCTCACTCCTGCTGGACCAGCTTAAACTGCAGTATTGACTGCACAGTGTTGTCAAAGGTAGTTTTACATGTAAAGCAATTTAAAAGCCGGAAGCAAAGGAGAGCTTTGCATTTAGATGTCTGCATATTGTCGTGGCTTCTGGTTCTTCTTCCTGGAAGAAGTGCCGTGACTTTTAAAATGATGACACGCCGTCACCAAGTATTGATTATTAAACATTAAATGGTCACAGTGGCAGAATAAGGGTAATGCTCTGGATTTTACAAGGTCAAGGTCAAATGTGTCTTTCAAGGTTTCATCTATAAATAAAGACCTGAGGCCTGCGGTTGCTGTTACCAAGTCCCACGTGAAAAGAAGAGGACCTTTCATATGATTAACGTGTCAGAAATCAAGTATGACATTTTAAAGGGACAAATGCAGCGTGACAACAGATAGAGATATGAAACTGTAAATCTGTCCAGGCAGGGAAAGAAATGAGCGACTGAAGATAAGTGAGGAAAAAAATAAATAAAAGAAGAAGAGAAGTCTAGTTTCAAAGTGAGGCCACCGCGGGAGACAGATGAAGGCGAAGGAGGTGAGGGAAGGACATAATGAGAGAGGAGGGGAGGGACAAAGAAGGTAGAGCTGTGGAGGAGGAGATTAAGGGAGGTGGACAGAGGGAGGCGCAGTCAGGATGGGGAGATAGAGAGATTAGAGAGATGGCAGGATGATAAGGGCAGGGAGAGTGAAATTAAAGAGCAGGAGGCAGGTGATGCAGCGGGAGGAGTGGGGAGATTAGCAGAGAACGTTGCTTTTAGTTAGTGCAGATGTTAGAGTAAACTGAGTACTTGTGTATGATGACATTTCAGATATGCACAGTACTGCATTTGCTGGATTAAACATGGATTTGTTTTTGGATAACCGCGCTCCCTCAGTGCTCTACAAATCACTTTGTGAATTTTGGAAGACATTTAAAATACAGACATCCGAAGATTAAAGAACATCTCCCGAGAGAAATCAAATCGCGTGGCCTCCAAAAGAAAACCACACCTTCTTCCTATTATCGGTTTTCTCCCTTTGCTTGCTGCGTTTCACAGAGATGGTGAAAACAATAAAAAGTCTTTTGGCAGAAAATATAGACATTGTTGGCAAGTCTAAATTTCTGTCAGTGCAGCAGACTTGTGTACTTCCCTCCTAAATATTTATACATGACTTTGTGAATGTGAGAACAGTGGGAGTAAACAACATAAGAATGTCATTCATGCAAATAGCAAAAAAGGAGGGAAGGCTCTCCTGCTGCAGCCCGCCTTAGTGATTTACATCTGGCTCTTTAGCTGCCAAATGCTCCATTATTTCAACAGCTAGACGCTATCGTTGGCTGTCTGCTGTATAATTCTGGACAAGAGATGTTTTACTGACACAGCTGCATGCTGCAGATGAAAACAACACTGTTGTGGGCAGGGAAACAATGGCTTTATAGATACCACACTCGGTGACGTTTCGCTGGAGTTTCATCAAGCGAAGCTTTGATGCGACTATACTTGAATTGCTTGTTCCTTTCAAAGTAGCCGACCTATAAACACACAACCTTTCATTTTGCATAGCGTGTGTATATGTGTGTGAATTTGAGTATTACAGAGATGGAGTCCCGTGAGCCATCGGGCCTGTATGTCCAGGAGAAGGTGACGTCCTCCGAGGTCCAGCGCCAGGAGAAGAAAGAACAGGAGAGTCGGATGTCAGAGCCCACCAAGGCGTGCCGCTCCCAGCCAGTGTAAATCGCTATGGCCTGGGACTGCTCAGGCACTGGGAGACACAAAGCAGGTTTAAGTGGTTAATTCACACATAGAAAGAACAAAATATTCTGGGAGCTCATATTATTTTTGATACTATGAGCTGACCTTCAGGAATCTAAATCTGTAACTACAAAAACACATGTACATAGTTGTTAGTGTGAGCTGGTATAAAAAAATTAACATGCACTGTTTCTTAGAATACCTTGAGTACCTTTGTGAATATTTTTACACCTAAACTGTTATCAATAGACACAATGTAGTCCTCTTTTAGCATAATCCTAGGTGCATGCATATACATCCAGATAGTCACTGACAAACTGCACATTAAGTGGGGTCAAATGTGCCATTGATTCAGAGTTGCACTCAGTAAATATTTGGGTTGTCTCTGAAAGGGGGAGCTTCATTTTCTCTATTGGTATGGATAATGTTGGCCTAATCATGTGCACAGTTTATGCTTGAATAATATTTAATGATCTATGTTAATTCAGTCTTGGCTGCAAAAATCAATATTTTAACTTCCTCCAAAAATGCACTCAGCATCTCAAACAACTACCAAAGCCCCTCGGAGCTGCACAGCCTCGCCGCTGAGCAGTATCTTTTTTTTTGTATTGTTCACTTTCCCTTGGACCGCGCCACCAACGAGTCACAGTATTCTCACTGCTGTATCAACACAAATGCCCTTAAGCACTCTGGAGTTTTCAACACCCAGGGAGTAAAGTTCGCAGCTTTCGCTGTGCACATCCTTGAGCGATAGCCAACCCCCGCAAAACTTGTCAATGAAATCACGCTTGACGTTTTTAATTAAAATTCCGACAAAACATCTGACAGGAGGGAGTTTAGAAAGCTGCCTCCTCGAGAGCAAAAACTCTCAGTTAAAAAGCTGCAATGCTGCTGCTCTTTAAAGTTACATGCTTGGAGACACCTGCTTCGAGAGAGAAGCACAGATGGACGGTGCTGACCCATTTACTGGAATGCATGCAAAAAGAGACTGAATCTTCTACAGGTGTACTGTTTAGTGTGCCTTTTAGATTAAATCAATACAGCAAATGCCAAGATATCAATTAAAATGCTTTAGCTAAGTGTTAATCCAGTGTAGTGGGAGGTATTAGAGTGCACTCTGAGATTGATTCAGTATCAAAGCTATTAGACCTTTTTCATTGTCATCAAGTTTATTAGTTTTCAGGTAGCACAAAACACACAAAAACCCACTTTGCCATATCCTCACATCAATAGAAAGATCATTTCTACATCATCACTTTCAGTAGATTAAGTTAAGTGTGAGCTTTTTTTGTTAGAGAAGTCCTCAAAAATGAAGTTAAAACTTTAAAAGAAGATGTTTTCTTTCATTTTTCCCCCCGTTTTTTTGTTGTTGTTGTTGTTGTTGTTTTACCTATTCCCAGGAGGGCAACCGACGTCAGCGCCAAAAACGTCAGCATGGTCTCTGGCTTCTACGGAGCTCCCAAAAGACTGATGCTGCAGACCCGACTGGAGTCGGTCGAGGAAGAGTCCCTCTCTGGAGGGAGCGTGAGTGGAAGGAGGAGAAAGAAAGAGGTAAAAGAGAGTGGAGGGGTGCAGGATGCCAGGACAGAGGGCTTCAAAACAGGACAACAACAGAAAACCCACTGTCCCAAGTTTTATACCCAACCACACCCCTCGTTCAGGCCTCAGCCCGGCCCATTCCTCCTCTCCTCACACTCCCCTCCTCCCGGCTCGCTCCATTTCCCTCTCTGAAATAAATGAGCGCATGCTGTCTTTTGAAGTGGAAAAGAAAGGCAGGTGACAGACACCTCCTCAGTACAGTAGTTGGTGAATTAATTGGATAAACAATAGGCAACTAGGGGCGAATTTGCAAAGTATGTGCGACATTACAGAGTGATGAATGTGATGTGTCACATTCAACCGTCACCTTGATGTGACTGGGCTGACAGGAGATGCTAATTAACACTTAGTGTGTAGGTGCAGGTAAAGGCGTGTGACGGGGACTCGCGACCATATGCGGCTGCTCTGTATGTGATCACTGCTCGCATGTTAGTATAACATGGAGAGATCCAGCAGAGAGGTCAGTCCAGGGCTCTCTCCTCCATCCCCCATGCTTCACCCCTCATTCTCCTCTCCTTGCACTTTCACCCTGTGGCCCAAACAATGCACCAACTATTTTCTCTCATTCTTCCCCCTCTTCAGATTCCTGTCATTTGCTGACGTCTCGCACTCGAACACAAAGGAGAGAGAGTGGACAGGGCCTGACTGGTGTTTGCCTGTCTGTCAATGGGGCTTTCTTTCTCTCCCTTTCTTTTTCCCTGCCCAGACAAAGCTGCGTATTGAAATCGCAGCACCCACTCCTCAGTTTTCCAGTGGCACAGACAGCAGTATAGTGTGGGGAGAGACATGCTATATATAGATGGGTTGATATGAGGACAAGAGAAGAAGCACCGACGTGAAAGTGAGGCAGCGGCGAGATACAGGCGCAGGGTGAGGAAAATATGGTGAGGAAAATATGAGAAGGAGAGCAACGGTGTGAGCGAGAGTGAAATAAAAAAAAAAAGTCTGATTTCTGGAGGTTTCATTCAATCATTTTGTCACCCGTCATGAATATGGATTCATTTAGCCGCTGGCATATTTGTAGTGAATACATGCTCAAATTAGTAGTTCTCCTCTAGCTTCAGCAAACACACAAGCTGGATACACTCAACATTGAAGTGTAAATCATATCAACCTTGATTCAAGTCCTGCTGCCTCTCTTTAGAATTTGTATATGATGAGTGAGAAGAGCTGGCACTTGACAAGGATGTCCACTTTACCCACTTCACGTCATTATTACACTGAGCCCACTTATCCAAGTTTTCTGGGATAAAAATCAAGGCTCTCGTTTTGCAAGGTAGCACAAAGCCAAGAGAGCAGCAAAGCGCCGAGCATCAGATCAACTGTCTCTCACGTTTCAGACGACAGCATACATTTTTTTTTTTTTTTTGCCACTTGTGACATCCACTCGTTCATCTTAACTCCTCAGATACCCCCCTGACGGATCAGCTGAACAAAATGGACCATCTGCCAACTTGTTGGCGCCATCAACTGTCTAAGCTTTGGCTTGAATGTCTAAATCGCGACATCCTTAACAATTATTGCAGATCCTGCCTTCAGGCCCCAGAGAAACAGGGGGATTCTTTATGAGTCTGGCAGGTGCAGAATGTGGCAAGCACCCAAACTCGTCAGCACCGAGCGATGGTGGCAGCGGCAGCGGCTGAGCTTGGCAGGCAGAAACTGTATCACGTATAGAGCGAAGGCCTCCATTCCTTTAGCTGGCAGTGATATAGCACACTAATGCAGGAGAGGGAGAGCTCATCTGCTGCTAAATTATACAGAGAGGAGAGGTAGAGGAGAGGGAAAAGAGGTACCAGCGGGAAACAGCGGGGAAAACTCGATCTGTAGACCAATTTTAACATTTTTTCTTTTTTTTAGGAAAATTATACACAAGTCCTCAGCTGCACTTTAGTCATATTGAGGTGGACAAGGCTTCACATCAATTGGTGTTATTAGAGATGACTGAATACGCAAAGTACCTCAGGCTTTAGCCACTGTGCGAATGAAACCATCTCAGCTGTCTGCCTGTGTAACCCATCAAGCTTGTTTTCACGGGTGGAGACAGTGGCCTCAGTTGTATTTGGTGAGGGCATGTCATTAGACACCCATATAAATTTATAGAGCACATTTCCTTGTGATTTTCTCATTTCCTTTGACATCAAATTATTTCCAATGGAATGAGGAAAAAAGAACATACCAAGCACACTTTGAAAAGCCCACAGATAAACACAGACTGGGAAGGCATCCCGAGCTGTAGATGTTAGGGGCACTTGTCAGCTCTATCCATGTCTAATTTTTCTGCAATGTGGAGTATGTTTGTCACAGCTGAGTGCAGCACTGATCACAAGGCAGGCTGGCAGATGTGCAGATGTCTTTTTCGAAATGTGGAGGGCTTCTGCGAATGAAGAGCTGCTTTAAGATGGGACTGCTGGAGGGTTTCTTGCCGGTCGAGATGGGAAAAAGACAGAAGAGATACACACCACAGAGGCTGGTTCATACCAAGGTCAAAAGACTAATGACCGTCAACAGCGATCCAATGGAGTGCACTGCAATCTCAACCCCTTAAGCACAAGCATCTCAGTGTGGGCCAAAGTGAAGCGCTGAGAAGTGGGGAACAACAACTGCTGCCATCATAAACCCATCACAAAGCGGTCTCGTTAGCGACTGGATCGACTCGCAGTTTCGCTGAAGGGGTTGAATAATCAAGCGAAACATTTCCATAACCAAATAAGGCAAATGAGCCATGGCGAGCAATTGGCCAGAAAACTGTCAAAAGTTCAGGCTAGAAGGCAGGATTAAATATAAATACAGCCGTGTTATTCCACCATGGGTTTCTAATAGGAGGCAGGTTAACGATGCAGCAACAACAACAAAAAAAAAGGTCAACAGAAGAAAGAGTAGATGACCAAAAGTATGACATGGGTGTGCATTCATTAGTAATCTTTGACATTTAGAGAAGTTATTCTAAGTAGTGGGAAGTGTGTTTTATAGAGCAGCAGCTGCAGCTGCTTAGAGTTACAGTTTGACACACTTTTGGCTCAGTTTAGAGTCAATGGTTTTATTTTCACTGTTTCTGTAAATGTGCAATGATATGAAAGCATCATTGGATTTACAAAGAAAAAAAATTCAAATTTCTGATTCTTTAGTGAAACTGTCGTTTGTTTTCCATACTCTTCATAGCTATCCAAATCTATCCTACTTGAAAAAGTAATCACCCCCTAAACCTAACAGCTGTCTGTGCCATGTTTGCCAAACAAGAACTACAACCAAGCGTTTGGAATGACTGACGAGACTTCCACGTCACTGTGAAGAAATTTTGGGCCACTCTTTGAGCATGAACGGCACGTTTGAGGACATGCCGGGACATCTCAATTTGATCAAAGTCCAGACTGACGACGCCCGCCAGAGCTTTCAAGCTGGTGTGTATCAGGTAACGGTCCTGCTACATAACCCGAGTACATTTGAACTTTCTTCCACAGGATTTTCTGGTAGAGAGCAGAATTCATGGTTCCTTCAATTATGGCGTCCAGGTTCTGAAGCAGCAACTCCACGCCATGCAAACTACCAACACCATGTTTGACTGTTGATATAATGTCATTTTAATGAAATACTGTTAGTTTTGTGCCACGTGTAACAGGACTCAAAACTTCCAAAAAGTTAAACCTTTGTCTTTTCAGTTCACAGATTGTTGAGTCATTTTCTTTTTATAAATCTTAGATCAGCCTCTTTGTTCTCTTTGGTCAGCAGTGGTTTTCACCTTGAACTCTCCCATGGATGCCATTGTTGCTCAGTCTCTTTCATATTGTCAACTGAAACACGAGAAGTCTGCAGTTCCTTTGCGACCTCCTGAATAAGTCGTCGATGTGCTCTTGGAGTAATTTTGGTAGGTCGCTCCTAGGAAGGTTCATCACTGTTTCAAGTTTTCTAAGTTTTCTCCATTTGTGGATAATATCTCTCAGTGTGGTTTGCAAGAGTCCTAAAGCATTAAAATGGGTTTGTAAGACTTTCAAGACTACTAGATGTGACTGGATGTTTCTCAGTTGTTTCTTTACATTGTGTCATATTTTGTTGCTTTGTTGGTAGGTTCTATGTATATGATTTATTGATGCGCAATAATGAGGCCTGTGTGTGTCAACTCAGATTTTCAATAAATGTAGTTAGACACAGTTAATTCACACAGGGTCAGGTAACCTTTGACAAATAGGCAAATAAATAAATCAGAAAGCAGGGAAATATTTTCTACAACTGACTGCAACTGTGCAAGAGGGGAGGACACACTTTGCACCGATCACTAGTGAAATCAAGCTTCCATGCTCACATCCACAGCTATGCCCAGTTTAGAATCATCAGTCACCTTCTGCATGCATGTCTGCAACAAGTACTCTGAGAAAACCTCCAAATGCACTGGAAGAAGATGCAAAAACTGCACACTACACCCGACCGACCAACAGGTTTGCACAAATTTGGAGCACTTGCTAGCTGGTTTTCATTGTTTACTGGATGTAGACTGGTGTTTGTGAAGGTCACGTTGTCTAACACAGCTCTCCACCACTCCGCTCCCATGTCAAATAGTCCTTGCAGAGCCTAGGGGTGTGTTTTGATGGTCCCACTGAGCTCAAACCAGATGGGATGGCGTGTCACTGCAGGATGTTGCTGTAGCCCTGCTGCTCAAAACAGTGTTGCTTTGAATGCTGAATAAATTTCCAGCAGTCTCACCTGCTAAGTCCCCCCTCCCCAAAAGCCACACACCATTACAGCTCATCCTCTGTCCTTCATGGTGTGAAGCACACATGCAGATGCTCAGCAAACCAAAGTCCAGATTTCCACCTCATCTAATGTGTATTTGTTGAGTTTATTGGCCTTGTTTTTCTTAATGTCCTTCAGCAGTGGTTTCCTTGCAACAGCTAGAGTATGACAGACTGATTCACACAGACTTCACCTAGCAGTTGAGGTTAAGATACTTGAACTCAGGGAAGCACCGCTGTGATGCTTGTGGTGCCTGAGGTGCTTTTTTTCCAGACTGACTGACCTTCATGTCTTAAT